GTATAACGAAAAGACAGTCACACTGCTCAAAAATTACACTTGCGAAAGAAAACAATAACGGAAGTTCTGCTGGAAATAGTGCTCGAAACAACTGTGACAGAATTTTTTCTCTCTCATCACTACCGTTACAATGCAACGAAAGCAAGAACAATGCACAATAAGTAGTGCCATAACCCATTATGATTAACAAAACTCTCGCTAGTCTATTAGCATTTATACAAAAGCCTAATTTCATGTGAGAAAAAAAAAATACAGAAACAAAAAAAAAGGAAAGGAAACCCAATAGAATCATAAACCGCAAAAAACAAAGCAAGCGCAAAAAATGAAAGCACTTTTTTTTTAACCCCGGCCATTAACCCTCTAATTATTTTTTCATAATATAACACTCACAACGAAAGCCTTCAGGGGTGAGACGTCGCAGTCCCCCATCAATGCATCGCCGCCCCCCCTCCCCCCTCCTCCCCCACAAGAGTCGTCCGGACAACCTCCAGGAACCAGTCGGGGAGTCAGTCAACCACCACACGTGCTACGGGAAGGCTGCGAGATTACAGGTGCGCGCGTGCAGGACTTGGTCTGACGGGCGTCGGCACACATTCTTGCCCGCGACGGCAAACTTTCTGAATTGGATACGGGGAAGTGTGTCCGATATAATAAATTCTAGTAACTATTAAGCATGGTGTGAAACTGTGAGAGCAACTATACACAAGATAATGCGTGATAAAAAGAGAACAGTTTTGATTTCGAGGATGTAAGTGTGAATGAACTTGTGACGTTAAAATCTACGGTGAATAAACACCAGAGTGCAAGTAGCAGAGAAATCCTGTGATCTGCTTTCTAATCAACACAGTGACCTCGCGAAATTATGGTCTGAATTCCATCTCGTGCAGTAACGATACATCAGAAAAGAAGTGAAGAGAGAAAGAGACAAGAGACAGAGAAAGAGGAAGAGAACGAGAGAGCGAGGGAGAGCGAGCGAGAGAGAGAGAGAGAGAGCGCTACTATGCGGGAAGGGCCGGACACTCCCGCAGACGGGCCGGGACTTGCCTCGTCGTCGCGGGTCACTCAGCGCCAGAACCCGAGAGCTGACCCCATCGACTCTCGACTCCCGAAACTGAGTCATATCTACACGACCTTTCGGGAGATGGCGAGATCCCAGGTCAAGGCTGACGGCACCGCCCCAGGTCACGTCTCCAGCCCCACCGTGTGCGAGGCGGGCGGGGGAGGGGCAGAGGACATGCACAAGCCAAAGCGGACCTGGACAGAACGGTGGGTGATGGGCGTGAGTGTGGCCGGTGTCGTGGTATCGGGCCTCGTCCTGATCATCGTGCTCTTCCCCCTCCTGACGAGGAAGCCCGACCCCACCCCCGCCCCCACAGCCTCCTTCCCCAACATCCCCGCCGATGTGGTGCGACTCCAGCCTGACTCGACCAACGAAGACAGCATTTCGCCCGGCGAGAGGATCATCCTGGCAGACAAGGACGTCTTTCTGGAGGGCAGGAAGAGCCCCGGCATTCTACAGGACTTCGATGCAGGTCCAGACACGGCAGAAATTCGTAAATTCTATAAGCTCATGGCAGACAATATCAAGGGCGCCATGAACAGGAGTTCTGACCCGTGCCATGACTTCTACGAGTATGCCTGTGGCAACTGGCACCAGCACCAGCCTCCTCCCAAGGGGGTTTCCCGCTGGAGCAACTTCGAAGCCATGACCATCACCATCTGGGAGCTGATGGAGGACCAACTGAAACGTGCCGCTTCATCGGAAATCGGAGGCACGTCCCAGGACAATTCCTTCTCTGAGGAGTTCAAGGATCCACTCGGCAGGGTTCGTCAGGCTCTCCTCGAGGATGCTGACCCTTTCATGCTGGAGCTTGCAGGTCGGTACTATGCAGCATGCGAGAATGAAACCCAACTCGCCAGACTGGGTGCTGCGCCTCTTCAAGAGGTCCTCCGCACCATGGACGAGCAATACAGGTCTCTCACACAGAAAGTGAAGCCCTTGGAAGCCTTTCAAAGGATGTTGGAGTATGTGCATCACGACCTGGCTGTCCATGCCTTTTTCAGCTGGAAGGTTGAGGTAGACAACAGCGTGGCAGACAGCATGGCCATCGAAATCTCGGCACCCAGCCTTGACCTTATCCCACAAGGCACTAAGGTCGAAGGCAACGAGGAACTCATCACTGTGTATCAACAATATGCCTCAGAACTCTTGAAAATAGTGGGCACTTATGATGGCAGGGAAGTGGCTGCAGAGGTGGAGGACATTCTAGCAATGCTCAAGGTGTACCAGCCCCTTAGTGGTTCTCCCCTGGTCAACGATACCACAGTGCAGGAGCTTGAAGCCATTGCACCCTTCCTCAACTGGCAAAGCTTCTTTAATACAGGCTTCAATCCACTGGGCATATTTGTGTCCCAGAGGGAGCGAATTCTTTCCTTAGTGCAGGACTACCTCGCCGTGCTCTCCACCAACGTTTTACAGGAGATCTCACAGGAAGGGTCAGCACGCCGTCTCTACGCCTTCCTCCGCTGGCAAGTGGCTCAGAACTATGCACAGTACTTGCACAAGTCTGCCAGGAACACCATCCTGCCACTCTTTGACGGAATCACGGGCGAGAACACCACCAGCCTCCCGCACTTCCGATACCGGCCCTGCATCAAGGAGCTGGAAGAGAGGCTGGCTCTGCCCATTGCTTACCTCCTCATGGAAATCATTAAGGGACAACTGCACAAACACCATAACATCAAGGACATGGTCAACAAGGTGAAGCACATGGCAGAGAACATTCGTGATGAATACAAGCACTTTATTTCCTCCTTCAAATGGCTGAAGGACAAGGATAAAAGTATGCTGGTGGAGAAACTTAATAATGTGAAGATCCTAGTGGGCTACCCACCTGTGTTAGATAATGTGTTCCAACTCAGGACTATGTTCAAGGAGCTCCACTTCACCCACGACAACCTCCTGCAGAACCAGATCAACCTTCTCAAGTTCAACCAGCAGCGGAAGATGAAGTTTCTGAGGCAGCCTGAAACGTACACCGAGTGGGAGGTGCTCTCCCCCATGTCACTCATCAGTTTCTATGTGTACCGTAGGAATGCCCTGTTGGTCCCACTGGGTGGCTTCATGTACCCACTCTACAGTTCCCACATCCCTGAGCCCCTTACTTATGCCACTATGGGGGTGTTCATTAGTCACGAGTTGGGGCATGCTGTTGACTTCGTGGGACGCACAAGGGATTCACTTGGGAGGGCCAATGCCTCCCTCTGGGATGAATCCACAGTTGCAGACTTTGTGGAGCGAGTGCTGTGCCGCGTGAATGAGTACAGTGAAAAGCACTACCCCATAAACGGCCTCTTAACCATCGCTGAGGTCATGGCTGACGACGGCAGTGTAATCAACGCTTACATGACAACCCGCAAGCAACTTCAGCACACTCGGTTTCCAGGACAGCTGGAGAGTCTCATGGACCAACTGACTATGACCCCTGACCAGTTATTCTTCCTCTACTATGCCCAGCTCTTCTGCACGACCTCCCCAGATGGCACTCCAGCCAAGGGGGTGGAGCACTACCCACCGCACTCAGTCAGGGTCACTGCCACTCTTACCAAGAACTCAGCATTCCACAGTGCTTACCAGTGTAAGGAAGGTTCTGGCATGAACCCTGATAACAAGAACTGTGAAATATGGTGACAAAATTGTAGGACTTCATGTGAATCTCTATTTCAACACTGTGATGCAAGGTAATTCATGTTTAAAGGTCACCAAACATATACACCCACAGGTAATTTGGTTTCCTCTTACTTCATAATGATCTGATGGTGCAACTATTCTTGAAATCTTACAAGTGAATAGAACCTGTATTATACAGAAAGAGGGTTATAAACCTTCACTTCCCCTTGTAATAGATCTGTGATAGCACATACTGTAATGACTTTTTCTGCAACCAGTAACAATATTGGATGACATTTTATGCATATATGTAGCATTTACTATTTTTCTATGTTTATACTGAACACAAAGAATTATATTTGTATAGGAAAGTACAAAGTAATATATCTTCTATCATATAAAAGTGTTTATCATTATTCCCTTTAATACTAAATGAGCATTCAAAATTCTTGTATTTGAAATGCTACATGAAGATTATATTAGAATACTCTAATAGTTCTCCAACTTAACACAAGTAAATCCATCTCAATAAACATGTTGTGTATACATAAAAGCATCTGCTTCTGCAATCTACATATAGATAAAAATCCAAACTCAGTTTGCTGTAGCTGTAGATTAACCCACTTCATGGCATCTACTCTTGCCATGAAATGCTGAGTTGATTCAAGCCTGTTCTATGTAGTGTACACTAATCCATTATGCACTTCTTTAGCCCTGTGTGATCACAGTGAAGAGCTGCAGCCCTACAAAACATGTTTAAATCTCTTTTTGCTCTTTTTAGCCTCAACCATAGGCTGAAATTGAAATCACATATATTAGGAATATGTTTCCTATGTTTTTCAAAAAAGTACCTGACTGCTCGCAGCAACTGATGCATGGTTTGGTTTGGCATGAGTAAAAGCCTCCATCAATGGATTATGTCAAATATTTAAACAACAATACTTAGCAGCATTGCCTTCTAAGTATCTACAAGTACCTTTTTAATAGTCTTTTCATTGTTGTTTCATTAAAAAAAAAGTATCTTTGCCATCATAAAAAAAACTCAAAAACTATATCAATATCTAGGACCATTCAAACTTTTCATCGTAATATCCTCAAAAGCACCAAAATACCTACCAAAATACAATCTTTACATTGAAGCACCAATATCAAAAACCAACAATGCCACAAAAATAACAAACACAATCTCAGCTCCTCAGCACGCCCACTTTCAAAATTCATCAATGAGGTATCCTCCTCCCCTCCTTGACAACAATGTCAACCCAAACAAAGTCACGATACCATAAACCGAAACTCAACTACACTGCAGAGAGAGAATTTCAACACTTACCGATAGGGTTTCCTCCTCTCCTTCTTGACCACGTCATCGAAGTACTCCTGCCAGCAGTGAGCGTGCATGGTGTGACCACAGGAGGACGTGTGCGCGCCCCAATAGAGGTCAGCTGGGAGTAAGAGTGGGTCATGGTTGTCTGGCTGATCCAAGCGCCGGGATCTGTTACGAGAGAGTACTGTCGATCTCTGGACGAGGGCCCCCAGCACCATTGCTCTGCCCGTTGAGCCTTCACCACGGCCAACCTGGTCCTCTTGGTGACACAGGATGCAGGTGTGGCTGTACAGAGGGACATAATTATAATTAGATTAGTTCTACACATACCAATTTTATGATACTTATTGAGAGAAAAACAAAATTACTTTCCTAAGAAATGTTTCTCTTAAAAACTCACCTAACTTCTTGGGGTTGCACTAAGGTCTGGCGAGGACCAATAGCTATCATGTCCTCCGGTAGCTGTTCTGTGAGGTCCATTGGTGTTGGTTCGACAACATCATTTGTCTGCTCTGTTGAAGAGGTTTCCTAAGGGAGAGAAACAGCTCCGTGAGATATCATCATGAACACCAATTTCTCAAACAGGTTATCCTAGTTTTACAGTGCCCCTTTGCAGTGTCTTTTTTTTCATAGTTCTCCCTTCTTTTCATGGTATGAATCATTCAAAATAAAAACAGTGAGTAGTTCTCAGGATTTCAAACGCATCTCACGCTTCGATCCACCCCTTACTTAGACTACGCTCTCCTAAAGAAGTTATTATTGTTACACTGTGATTGGAAAGACAAAGATAACTTGAAGGTCAAAACTAAAACAAAGTTTCAACGAGCCTTATGAGAGTACAGCACAGAGTGAAAGCATTTTATGAAGGAAATGAGAAAGAACAACATAAAGAACTGTCTGTAAAGATGTTAGCCATGCATTCCCGTTATGTGGATGCAGCACTTGACACCACTGGATTTATCTCCAACACCAAACTTACACAAACTCAGTAGTCTATATCAATCTTATTTTATCATGTATAATTGCTATAATCCATTCAAAGGGTTTTACTTTACCAAATTCAATCATTTTCATACATTTTGAAGTCCAGGTGGGAGGTTGGTAAATGCAACCTATTTTATTTAGTAATTTCTAATGGAAATAATTGTTGTTTTGCATCATTTCATTCAAGGTTTGGACTCAGGAACAGAACTACTCTAAATCAAGGACTTACTGTATCTAAAAATAAAGCCACTTCTAATCCCTTTGATTTGATAAAAAAGAAAATGGAAGGAAAGAAAGAAAGAAAGAAAGAAAGAAAGAGTCTCTCAAATTCACACTTCCCTACAGGAACTGGCAAAATGAAACAAACAAAATGAGAAAAGAGAAAGGTAAAATGGTGACATGTATCAACTCACCTGGAAAAGCGTTTCATTGGTCTTGATGAAGTTTTGTTGCATGGATGCCATCTTCATCATAATGCGAGCCTTTCTCTGTGCAGCAATGTCAGACCTTCGTTTCTTTTCAGAGCTGGCAGAAGCTGCAACTGAGGTAGAGGTAGAAGCCATCACTGCCTCTGATGTTTGAGCCTCTTTGCTTGAAGAGGCTGACAGACTCAGCACACTGTGGTACCTGTAAGAAGAATCAGACACTAAATAAAGGAACAGTTCAATTCCTATTTACTTTTTTTTCCCTGAAGCTTTATGTTAATAGATCACAAACACTTTGGTAGTTCAGGTGAACAACAACAAAAAAAAAGTAGAAACAAGAGGAGGAGGAGGAAAAGAGAGTGGAGAAGCAGCAGATTGCAAAAAAAGGAGTAAAAACTGCTTACTTTCTGATTGTCCATGCCAGGAGATCTTTGTGTGTGGTGGTTCTGGGGTGTCCGACAAGACCCTCAAGCAAACCGAGCAGACTGATCTTCTGGGCCCTTCGTGTGAAGTGGAAGTAGGGGTCATTGTTGTGGTAGTAGCGCTCCTCTTCATGAAGTGCATACCCCACCAGGTGAAGGACCTTCTGTAGCTGTGACTCACTAACACTCTGGGATTTCAGATCCATCATTCTGGAGTAATAACAAATTTATTAATATGACATAACAATAAAAATAACAATAATAATAATAATAATAACTTTGGCTGCAGGATAGGATAAAATCATGCCAAGGCCTTAGAGACAGTCTGTATTTAGCCTACCTCTTCAGAACTGTCTTCAGGATGTGAAGGAAAACATCACACTGGAGGATGTTGACAATCATGGTGAAAGGTACAGTAAATGCAGGAGGGACAGGTGGTGGACAGCACTCCTCCTCACCAGCAGTCTTCTTTCTTGCTCTCTGCGCCACCTACAGATGATCAGACATTAAGTACGCAAGCTCTTGGACTTTACTCCTTTTCGTAGTTTATAACTTGCATAAATGTCTTGATAATGCATGCTGTCTCAGATTCGTGTACTGTATAAGTATGTTACAGACTTCCAAGTTTGGCCTAGAGCCTTGCTTGTCCCCCCCCTTCCCCCCCATAACTGGCTTGTATAGAATCAAAGACCAGGGGTAAAAAATACTGTTCCTACACTTCTAATTTGATCTAGTGTAGCCACACTTGAAATTAGTGCCTCTTTCTTTCCAACTCCACGATATGAATACACTCAATTGCAATCCTATCATAAAAACCCTTTACCTCCAAGTTCAGCTAATTAGATTAGTTTGTGATTAGTTGATTTTTTACCTTCCTTAAGTTACCCTTGACAAAAATCAGACGAATTCCTCTACCTACATAAAAAAAAAAAAAAAAATTTCTGTCTCACCTCGGACTTGCTCTGTTCTTCCCGAGTGTAGTGGTAGAAGAAGAGATTGTAGTGAGAGTAGTACGACTTCTTTAACTCGTAGAAGCCCTTGGTTGCACCGGATGATTTCTTAAAATCAGCTACACTGTCAATCACCTAAGAAAAACGAATCAAACATTAGAAATAGTGAAGGAATAATTAAATACTGTAATGAGATTCTGCGCATTTACTGGGAAGAAGAAGAAGAAGAAGAAGAAAAACTAAAATCCTTAAATGACAAATGTAGCAAAAGAGAGAACAAGTTAAACAAATACTCCAGTCGCTCTCACCTTCTCCATGCCAGTCTCGTGGTTGGTTCCCTCGGGCAGAGCCTTGTTAAGTACCGAGTGTGGCATGGGCTCTATGCTCAGAAGCTGGATAATCTCCTTCTTGATTCTCTCCTCCTCGCCGATCTGGCCGATTCCGGGGGTGTAGCGCTCTGACACGATGGTCATCACCAGCTGCAGGTACTCCTCGACCAGGACAACTGTTTGTCTCATGTTGTCCTCATCATTACCCTGAGTGAAAAGGTTTAAAAGAATAAATATATATATAAATGTGTATATTTACCAAGCCAGTGGTTTTTGCCATCTTCAAATTAGTCATATGTATGCCAAGGTTCATATTACAAGTATATTTTCTTACAAATACAACCTAGTGCTTCAGCAGTGAATGCTTTAGGTAGTATTTCTGTAAATATGTTTGCTTTTGAGAAGCTAAGGCAACTTGCTAAAAAGCTGTTCGAGTATATTCTGAAATCCTTCTCTTTGTAACAAATTAACCCAATGCCAACAGGCATGGCATGTACGTACGTGCCATGCCCACCATTGACTTTATTAACCAATTCCCGACAGGGACAATTAATGAAATGTCCCTGTTACGAGATGGCTCTGCTAGTGCTAAGGATTTCACCTTTCCTTGAATTGGCGCAAGAAACATATTCTTACTAGTGCTATAAATATAGTTAGTGTTATCTTTATTATAAACATTATAATTACTATAATGTTATAAACATTTGTAACAGCAAAATAAGATAACTTTAAATATTTTCGTAAATCGACGAAAAGGGTGAACGGGCGAAACATGCAGTACTTGTAATTGGCTCATTGGTGATTTAGTACAAGTGTAGCCATCTATGTGTCAAAACAATTAAACAAGTAAACTCACAATGGGCATGGCATGCCCGTCAGCAAAGGGTTAATTGTTTTTAACATAGATGGCTATACTTGTACTAAGTCACCAATGAGCCAATTATGAGTACTGCCTGTCTCACCCGTTCACCCTTTTCCTTGATTTACGAAAACACTTTACGTTATCTTATTTTGCTGTTACTAATGTTTATAGTATTATAGTAATTATAATGCCTATAATAAAAATAACACCTTGGATATTCATACCATTAGTAATTTTTTTTTTTTTCAACAATTCAAGGAAAGGTGAAATCAGGTAAGGTCACAAGGTCTACTAATTATCTCCTTTATGGCTAAGCACTAGCGGAGCCATCTATGTGCAGAGACATTTCACATAAAATAAAAAATAGCACAACATTTTCCCGGCAGCATTGGGTTAAAAATGTTCCAAACTCTTGGAGAATGAAAAAGAAAAAAGAAAAAAAAATGCCAAAGCTGTTTATCAAATAAAATAAAATCATTGCATCAAAATAGATTAAACACAATACAAAAGGGGAAATGAAAAAAAAAAAATAATAATAATAATCATATTAGAAAAAAATAAAAATTAATGGCTATTTCTAGACATATCCAACTGAAAACAAGTTTCAAAAGGGAGACTGACTGCAAAAACAGAAGAAGCAACATCTGGCTTACTCTTACAGTATTTTTCTATATTATCTATAATCCCCAGAAGTTGTGATAATCAAATGAGCTTTTATATCTTACACAGAAAATGGAGGTAATAATATCAATCATGCTGAAAAAGAAGATTGGCAAATACTAACAATGAATAAAGCATCACAGATTAATTTGTCAAATAAAAAAAACAATATCTTGCTTCTTATTTATGAAACAGAAGCACACTTTGGCTAAACAAACACCTGAAAATCCCATCCTACCAGTGACTCCACAAATGGCCTTTAGCTCTGTTTACACATTCATCTACTTTATCTAATTCAGAAACAAACACCCTCACATTTAATCCTACCAGTTACTTTTTTCTGTACTTTTAGATAAAAACTTTACCTCTAGAGCTTACAATACACAAAATCTTCAATAAACTAAATTGTCAGAGGAAAGACTGAAAATTTTATATATATATATATATATATATATATATATATATATATATATATATATATATATATATATATATATATATATATATATATATATATATATATATATATATGTATGTATATATATTTTTTTCTTTTCTTTTCTTTTCTTTTTTTTTCGTTTTACTATTCTACTTTCTACCTCTTTAGCAAATCTCTAAAAGGTAAAATAAGAATCTCAGCATATTCATACTTCATTTCAACATATGATAAAGCAAAAGAGAACATTTCATCATTGATACTTTTTCCAAAACAAGCCAATTTATTTTGCATATTTTCTTCCTTTTACTTATGAATTCAGAAAAGGTTTAGGGTGAAGAGGATATTCCTCTCACCCTAAAAAAAAAAAAAAAAAAAAGAGTTTGGTTTCTACCAACTTTTCATAAACAACAAAGCAGATAACCAAAAGTGTACAAAATATAATAACTGCAAAGAAAAGGACACATTATCCTAAAACAAAAATAAAAGTAACTAACATCCTACTTTTTTTTTAAACAATCCCTTATTCCTGCTTACTCCTTTTAGTATGCAGTAAAGACATGCAATCGAGTTAAAACTCTAGTATCTCTTTGGCCAAACTCTGATTATTAGTGGAATCAAAATACAAAAAAATGAAAGGTTTTGACACAGTCCCAAAACATTTCTTCATAAAAGAATCAGATACCACTCCCAAATCTTTAAGAGATAGGGATATCTTTCATAACTGTCACACAAAGAACAAAATTGTTGCATAATGTCAGTATCAAAGGAGAATTATAAAGATATGTGTAGTTATTATAACTTTTACAATAACTTGGTGTGGAAGTTCTCCTCCCCTCCTATTAAAAGTTGATACTTCATATAAACTGTCTAGTCAACACTTCCATGTCAATAACCTTAAAAAATCCTTCTACATTTATAGACACAACACCCTACAGCAGAGCAGTCATTAAGATAATGAAACTCTAAACAATAATACTAAAAAAAATGATCTTTACTTTAATATCTAAATCTTTTTGGTCATTTTCAATTTAAAGATAATCTGAACAAAGTCCCCCACTCCTTTGCCTTTCTATTTATCACTGCTATATCAATGGTATCCTGTATGACAAAAAATCTGTTTCATTAGCTTTCAGCTTGACATGAGAGAGACTACTATAAACTAATCCCATGCTACCCATCCATGCAGAACACAGTATAACTATATAGTATAACTAACTTCAAGAACTCTAATTAGGATCTACCTTAGTAACAACATCCACTACCCTACACTCACCCAAATAAATTAATTAATCAAAACATATACATATGGCCGAAGCAGAAAGCAAGTCCCATTAAATCTGCAACCTTTGTAAATGGAGAATCAAACACAAAAACCATGTCATAAGCTAGTCTTTCTTTGGAAGTAAACAAAGACATCAAGGCACCAACTTTCCACTTGACAACAGACACTCCAACAAAGAGATGTTTAGTAATTCTTCACTTGAAGACCTCACAAATCTTCTACGATAAAGGACTACCTCCAAACTGTCTAGTTCACATGTCTACCCAGATAACTAATCAAAAGATTTCAATAGAAAATATAACTGGAATCAATAGCAAGCAATCTAAAGAATAAAAGCATATAGCTTTAGCATTTTATATTATATAATTAAGCACATTAGTGCAACAACATTTAAAGTATTTTAAAATTGGAAGGACTGGTGTTGGTCAACTGAACTGTTGGGTGGCAAGATGCCCAGAAAGCAGTATTAACATAAAACAAGTGAAAACCAGGTACTTACAAAAAGTTTATCTTCTCAACACTATATACAAATGGTTTGTATGATGGCACATAAATTCTGCCATTCACACATTGTTTCCCTGCTTTGTTACACTACACCACACTCAAAATTTACCCAAAAAAATATACATATGTAGCATAAACACTTGCACGGTGCTTAAGCGGAGAATTAGGGCGAGCAGTGAAAGAAAAGTGCTGATAATTTTAATATTGTTTTTCCAAATCACCAAAGGCATTTGTTATGATTGGGAACAGTGGGAAAGACACTTCAATACTCACTAGCTTGCTTGAATTCCCCAGCACCAAGTGTACTTGCTTAAACACCCGGAAGGCACGGTGGGGGGTGGCGGAAGTGGCGTGCGCTTTACCCTCTAAACCATCCTCAACATCATCCTGAGATGACTCAGTTTCCTTACAAACTGCATAGTGTACTATCTTCAGATTCTATGCTTCTCTTAGGTATAATAAAGCATGGGGTTTAGCCACGCGCTAAGAAGCTACAAGTCTCTTTGCTTATTTTAGGGAAAGGATTTAGAAAATCAGACCACTATATCCACTCAATCCATTCTGAACTCTGAATTAGGGTTAATAATTTAGAGAATCCTCATTCAATACTACTTAGTGTTAGATCTTAATGCTTCTTCTTTTTAAACATTTTAGAGATGACACAACTAAAGAGAACTTGAATACAATGCGGTTATGATAGAGAGAGAGAGAGAAAGAGAGAGAAAGACATGCGCTTTATCAATTAGACAGGCATCATGCCCCTTCCCAGCTCTTTCATGAAGTTATGTTTATGGGAGACATGTGTCTGAGACTTAATATAATCAGCAGATTGGCCATAGAATGACCTGAGGTCACCCTTAAAATAAAACACTGGAGAAGCTACTTTTGCCCAGGGAAAATCTAGTCAACCGTGAGCTAGAAAGACCTATGTGGATTCTAGAAGGAAGAAAAAATACAAACTAAAATCAAACTAAACTAGGAAGAGTCACCTCAAAAACAAAAAGCAGCACACCAAAATTGAACAACACTCACCCTAAGATACTGCATTTCATAGTCCTCCTGTGCCCAACTTATAAGGTTGAAACGGTTCAGAAGGTGCACCAAAAACTCATTAGAGTCAATCAATGTGGCTGCAATCTGTAGCAGCATCACATCACGATCCAGCATCTCTTGCCTGCACCTCACATTGTGGTAGAAGTAGATTTGGTTGATGAGGGAGAAGCCATTTCTGCGCCACATTCCAGCATGGACCTATTGAAAAAAATAAGTCATTAAAAAAGAAGAAAGAGAAAGAAAGAAAAAGCACATACGTGAAATAGAGAAAAAATTTATTCATCCTTTATTCATACATACTTACTAAATACTAAGAGTGAATGCCTGCACACACACATACACAGAAACACGCACACAAACAACTTCAATTCAATAAAAAATAAATAAATAAATAAATAAAAATTGATTAAAAAGAAAAAGAGTTACAAAATGATAACAGTAATGATTATCAACAATAAACTAAGCATTCTTTACCTGTGCAATCATGACCTGGGTCCTCAGCACTGGCTCCATAAGCTCCTCGGGGGACGGCTTTCCCTTCACCAAGAACTCAGGCGAGTTGTAGTTCAGGCCATACTTGTCCAGGTGGAGCGTGAGGCCTGCCACCAGCCGGGAGAGGGGGAGGTGGATAGACACTGGCGCCGAGGAGACGTCATACTCAATGCAGGACACAGAGTAGTCCAGCAACTCTCTGACGTATCTCCTCTTCATATCTTCAGTGCATAGTTCAGCCAAGGACTTCATTAGCAGTCTAAGGAGAGAGAGAGTGTTAAATAAAGGCCAGGGAATTTCAGCACATTGAGATGTGAGGAAAACAATTCTATATGGAATTGGGAACAATAAGAACAATAATAAACAACATTAACAGTAATAATTATAATAATAGTAATGATGATGATGATGACAACAATGATAACAATAATAATAACGATAACAATAACAATAATAGCAATAATGTCAATAAAAATATCAACAACAATAATATTAACAGTAACAACAACAATAATAATATCAATAGTAATATTACTGCTAATATCAATAACAACAATGACAATGATGATAATTATAAGAAAAAATAGAAAAATAAAAATAGTAATAATTAGAAAAAAAAATAATAAATAAAAAATAAATTAATTAAAAAATAATAATAATAAAAAAATAAATAATAATAACAATAATAAAATAAATAAATAAATAAACACTCAGTACCAGTACTCACTATCATTTCCAACAAAAGTATCTAAAATCACATAAAACATAAAACATTTACCTGTAAGCCTTGATAAGTACAATGCGATCTGATGCTGCCCATTCTATAACAAGAGGAATGACAGCAGCTAACTTTATGTGGAGATTAAAGGCCGATTCCCACTCTGGCTCGTATTCCATGTGTGTGCCTACTTGCCGAACCATTGGATCCATGCCCTGTTAAGATAGAAAACAAAAAGAAAGATGACGGAGTAATCTTACTTCATAAAAGAAAAATAGGAACGGAAGATATCTTGCATCTGAGTGAACAAACAGGTCAATGGACAAACAGAAAATATTTCCAATCCAGTCTCATTTCATATCTATTATTAGCTCTAATTATGAAATTACTATCAATCATACATTTGCATCTCTCAGTAGACACTAACCTGCATCATGCTTAGAAGGCGGAGCAGGAGATTATAGCCATGTAGAAAACCACAGCGGAGTTCGCGAGTCCACACCTCTGGCTTTACTCCCAACAAATATTTGAGGTCATACAATATATATTGTATGCGGCGGAAAGACAAGGTGTTTGAGCTTCTTTGTTCAAGAGCCAATTTGTCTGGAAAAAAAAAGAGATTGTGGTAAAATGTGTTCATATTTATCAGAAAATGGTTAAGAGGAACATGCATACATAGCAAAATTCCCCATTTCCTTCCCAGGATAACAAGACTTACTAGATTTTCATTCTCCTTGTATCCATGTTTCCTCTAATGCCTCCAACAGCATTTTACTGTAACATTACTCTTCAAAATGAGTTAGAGTATGTCTAACCTTCTTTTATTTATAACATATAATTTGATTTGAATGCAAGGTGTTACCAGGAGTACTTACTGTCTTTCAGCTTCTTATCACACTCTGACAAGAAAGTGTTCAGCAAGCGAGCTAGCACATCCTCCTCTGCTACCAACATGTGAGCAATGGTGGGCATAGTGAACAACTGTACACCCAAGGAGGCCACAGAGACTGCATGATCATGATCATCCAGAATGAAGTCTTTCATCATTCTGCTGTAGTTTTTCGTGAATGTCTATGAAAATCAAGAAGAATTTTTTGAAAAATATATATTCTTAGGGGATTCTGTTCAAATTTTCAAAATCATATTAGCAGGAAATATGAAAAATAAGAAATTATCAAGTATAACCAAAACAGATGAAAAATATAATAATGTGGTGCAAAAATTTTAAATTCTTGTAAATATATTAAAACATTAGCAAATAATTCATATAAAACCTTGAATTTTTCAAGAATTCAAAAAGATGTTAGCACATACTCGAGCAAACATTTTCTTGCTTTCCTGGTCCATCAACATGCCAGAGATGAATAGTCTATGCCATTGCACACGTGCTGTCTTCCACATCTTAGTGTCAGTCCAGATAATATTTTCAACAATGCTTCCTCCATCCTGGAAAACAAAACATTTTAATAATGGATTTGCAAGCTCTCCATACACAAAAGTCTAAATATTTGCAATGTGTTTATGAGTTAAGCCAAAAGTAAGCGCTGTTATGGGACATCACCTTCCAACTCACCCTATTAACAATCTCACTGAAGATCAGCCTGAAAGCCTGAGCTGATTCAAGGATGTTGTGGAGCCAAGTCAACAGTCTGGATGCAAATATCTGGTGTGCTATGACATATGTTGGCATCACCTGCAAAGGAAACAGAATATGAAAACCATCTTTTCAATTTTCAAAAGCTTTGGATATTAATAAACATTTCACTGACTCATTGCTGGAGAATATTTGTAAAGATTCTGATACTCTGTGGTCATGTTTGAAGAGAATGCACTAAATTTAAGAGACATTTTTGTGCAGCTGATAGTAAGAGGAGAGGTTAGCCCTGACAGAGTTATTGGGACAGGATAGCTGGAGGTGAACAGGAATTGCTGCCTCTCTTGGTGACTTTGTGACTAGTATGGGCTAAGTAAACCAGCTATGGGTAAGTTTAGCAATACAGCAAATACATATTGAATTACTGATAAGAAAATGTAAATGCAGACATATAATTTTACTTCAGTTTCCTTAGTCATACTGGTATACAAATACAGTTCTAAGACTAAATATCAAGCAAAAAAAAATTTCTTTGTCTCAATCCATTTAGTCATTTATAAAATCAACATACTGATTACAGATGGCATGTTTATTATGCCATGCTAATAAAGGCTGTCTAGCCTGGGACATGTATATCAAGATATCTTTATCTCAGTCTAGTCATTATCTAGACCTTTTATCAAGCAGACCATTTACAGGAATTTAGGCTTAACACATCAAACTTCCCTATATCAAACTCACAAACCAAGACTTTATCACAATATATATATGGTATATGCACATGGCAAACACAAAGACAGATTTTAGGCCTTCTGGCATTTTAGCCAGACTGGATTCATTGAGTGAAACTACAGTAACGTAACACCCTCCTTAAAAAAGGTAGTGAATGAAACACATAAAAAGAGCATAAATACAAAATTGAATAAAAAAAAAATACAAACCTGCACTCTCAGTGGCCGTCCACTTCCTCTTGAAGTTTGTTTTTCCATTACATTCTTTGTCTGAGAGCACTGTTGGAAGGATGAGCATCTCACAATACAGCGACCTTCTCTGTCAATACTTGTTGCAAAAGCTACTGCATCTTTCTGTGAGCAATCAATGGCACGCTCAAGTGTGTTGATAACCTGCACAAAATGGAAATAACATTTAATCACCAACATATGATTCCAAACTTTCAGATATACTACTAAAAGCTCAAAATTGGGCTTGTTTTATCACCCTTAACAAAGAGTGCAGTTCCCCCCACACTAATAAATCAGGGCTGTCTGTAGAGACAGATTGGTATACCTGGAATGAACTGGAATGAAAAGATTGTGTATGTCAATTCTTCAGCTACTGTTCAAGTTCTTATAGTTTGACATTTAAAAATTACAATTATCAGTATATCAGATCTACTTTTTACACATATTCCTATATACATAAACATATACCATCTCACCCTATGCACACAAGCACAACAATAATGTGTAACATTGATATATTTTGTAGAAGGTTTTCATACAAATTAGAGAATTCCTTTTTTCTGGTCACAAATATAATATATGCTTGTAAGTTGTAACATTTTTGCAATGGCCATGGTGAATGAGGAAAACACTCTACCATGTTGATACTATGGTAGAAAAACCCACAATGCAAAAACTAAAAACAAAAACAAAAACTTCATTTTCAATAAATCTAGTTTTTGCATTGTGGGTTTTTCTACCAATGGCCATGGTGAAATATATAGTCTATACTATCCTATAAGAGTAAATATGTGACCAAGTAAGTGGGTGGGGGGGATGAGAAAGTGGGTGTAAAAAACAAAGAGAAAGAGAAATAGAGAAATAGAGAAATAGAGAAATAGAGAAAAAGAGAAAACGAGAAAAGACAAAAGAGAAAAAGAGAAAGAGATAGAGTGAGAAAATGAGTGAATGAATGAATAAATGGATGAACAAGTGTGTGTTTGCACACAGGTGTACATGCATGTGTATAAACCTGAGTTTTCCTGCATATAGATAAGAGACTGTAAACTGCATGATTAAGAATACACTAGAAACAAGAGAGATGACTACAGTTTAGAAGACCTTCCCTTTATCCTTTCAAACCATAGAGCAATTTTAGTGAACTTACCTGATCATAGGTATGTGTCTCATCGTTATACAACATTGTGACAAATGTGTCTTTGCTATCATACAAGCTTGAGAGATTGGTAGGTTCTCTGTCCTGTTCCCTGATTTCCAGATCCTTCGGTATTGAGAAGCCTTCCTCATAGGTAAGCAATTCCTTAGCATAAGGCAAAATGCAGTCAAATATCAAATGGATTCTTTCAATCTGGAAGAAAATAAAACAAATTACTACAAACAAGTCATGTAATCTAGTAGTCTAGCTCATATCCTTCAATAATTTTTTATTAGTCTATTTTGTAAATTTGTGGGTTCAAACCAAGTCAAGAAACACTTACGTAAACAATGACCTGCAGACACACACAAACATGTGCACACAATGTTTTTTTTTAACACATTTTATATCCTCTCAAGTCACACTTACCAAATCAGGAGGGATCATTTCCAAAGGATTTTTAGACTGCTCGGCCATTTGACCCTTAATGTGAATATCACAGAATACATCACTCTTCCATGCTTCCCGGTCACCACAGTCACAGTATCCTCCGCCTGAAGATGTGCTGATCTTGTACCTGTAGAATAAATAAAAATATGAAATCAACATAACTGCTACCATAATTGAATGCTATACTATTAGTATATCATCCAAACAGAGATGGGGAAAAAAAAAACTAGGCATATCCTTTAGTTTGAAGTCTGAATGAAAAAGCACATATATAAATAGGAAGATAACCCAGTAAATAAGACAAGGAAACACAATCATAAAAAATAAAAATAAAATGTAATTATGAGAAGGAAATAACCAAAATAAAGTCCAATTAAGAGACATAATCAACAACATACCTATGTTTACTATGTGCTGAATTCTTGAAACAATCAGCGCAAAGAACACATGTGGGATCCATGCCGCAGTCTCTGCACCCGTACGTGGGATCTCCATTTTTAAAAACTCTACCGCACAGAGAAGGAGGCGTGTCTAGTTGCCGTACCATCTGTCAAGAAATCAAAAGATTAGGGTAAGTTTCCTTCAGAATGGATCACATAATATGCAAAATCACTCTTTACATCTTCAGAATTTAACCCATTCATGAAAGGAAAGTCTCTGAATGAAGCTTGCTGTGGCCAGGAGGCATTAGTTCTCTCTGCTCTACACTTGGGCTGTTGCCTGACTCAGGGCTTGGTTACTGAGGCTTATCCGTCGTATGACATGATTAGACATCACCAAGCATCAATTTTTTTTTTTTTTTTTTTTTTTTTTTTTTTTTTTTTTTTTTTATAATATGCTTAACTGTCATTCAGCATGGATGGTTTAAGTATTTCAACAAAAGCTGTACAAACCATAACAGCGAGTTTCTACAAAATTAGCTTACCTGGTAAACTTGAGATGGATCACCACCACACATGAACCTCTCTAGGGGGTCAAACAGCATCTTTTGCGCCAACTCCTCATCGAAAGTGATCCTGAGGCAATTCCAATTTGGCTAATGTGAAGGAAGGGAGCAAAGAGAGAGAGGAGTTAATTATGATAAGAAAATTAATAATAATAATAATAATAATAATAATAATAATAATAATAATAATAATAATAATAACAACAGCAACAATAATAACAATGAAAAATATTAATACCTTACACAATCATACAGGTGAACAATATCACAACATGAATTCAAGAATCAATTTGCCAAACGTGAATACAATTCAGTAATAATTAACATAGTATTTTCAAGACCTCATAACAACTATAACAAAATACCTGTGGTGAGTATATTTCCGGGACTTTCACACGCCAATACTCTCGTACGTTGAGGGCGGAGAACCGGCCCTCTTTGTACAGCGAGCTCCATCGCTCGACCAATTCAGCCACCGTGGGATCCATTATGTCATGATCAAACTGCCAAAGGAGGAAAATAAAATTAAAAATATTATAATGTTTCAAACTGATAAGTATCAATCAATATACACTACAACTCCAATGCACAAAACTTTTTTTTTTTTCTCTCAAAAACCTGATCATAAAAATACTGTAAAAATGTAGCAATGACAACTAACCACAAGGGTATGATTTCAGTTACCAGAAATCTGAACTTGGTAAAAGATTATCTGAATGAGTATCAGATACCGCTGTCCTACTGATCACCATGTTCATTCACTGCCAATATTCATTGGTCTTTCACACACACACATATTTTATCTATTCTATACATACATGTGTATCTTCCTGTGTATTTATACACATATTCAATAAACATATAATTATGCATACATATATATAATTATCCATACATATATATATATATATATATATATATATATATATATATATATATATATATATATATATATATATATATATATGTATGTGCTTGTATATATGCATGTATATGCATATGTATATATGTATATGCATAGGTATATATGTACATGTACATGTATAAGTATATGCATATGTATGTATATGTATAAGTATATATGTATGTATATGTATGTATATGTATGTATATATATGTATATGTATGTATATGTATGTATATGTATGTATATGTATGTATATGTATGTATATGTATGTATATGTATGTATATGTATGTATATGTATGTATATGCATGTGCGTGTGCGTGTGCGTGTGCGTGTGCGTGTGCGTGTGCGTGTGCGTGTGCGTGTGCGTGTGCGTGTGCGTGTGCGTGTGCGTGTGCGTGTGCGTGTGCGTGTGCGTGTGCGTGTGCGTGTGCGTGTGCGTGTGCGTGTGCGTGTGCGTGTGCGTGTGCGTGTGCGTGTGCGTGTGCGTGTGCGTGTGCGTGTGCGTGTGCGTGTGCGTGTGCGTGTGCGTGTGCGTGTGCGTGTGCGTGTGCGTGTGCGTGTGCGTGTGCGTGTGCGTGTGCGTGTGCGTGTGCGTGTGCGTGTGCGTGTGCGTGTGCGTGTGCGTGTGCGTGTGCGTGTGCGTGTGCGTGTGCGTGTGCGTGTGCGTGTGCGTGTGCGTGTGCGTGTGCGTGTGCGTGTGCGTGTGCGTGTGCGTGTGCGTGTGCGTGTGCGTGTGCGTGTGCGTGTGCGTGTGCGTGTGCGTGTGCGTGTGCGTGTGCGTGTGCGTGTGCGTGTGCGTGTGCGTGTGCGTGTGCGTGTGCGTGTGCGTGTGCGTGTGCGTGTGCGTGTGCGTGTGCGTGTGCGTGTGCGTGTGCGTGTGCGTGTGCGTGTGCGTGTGCGTGTGCGTGTGCGTGTGCGTGTGCGTGTGCGTGTGCGTGTGCGTGTGCGTGTGCGTGTGCGTGTGCGTGTGCGTGTGCGTGTGCGTGTGCGTGTGCGTGTGCGTGTGCGTGTGCGTGTGCGTGTGCGTGTGCGTGTGCGTGTGCGTGTGCGTGTGCGTGTGCGTGTGCGTGTGCGTGTGCGTGTGCGTGTGCGTGTGCGTGTGCGTGTGCGTGTGCGTGTGCGTGTGCGTGTGCGTGTGCGTGTGCGTGTGCGTGTGCGTGTGCGTGTGCGTGTGCGTGTGCGTGTGCGTGTGCGTGTGCGTGTGCGTGTGCGTGTGCGTGTGCGTGTGCGTGTGCGTGTGCGTGTGCGTGTGCGTGTGCGTGTGCGTGTGCGTGTGCGTGTGCGTGTGCGTGTGCGTGTGCGTGTGCGTGTGCGTGTGCGTGTGCGTGTGCGTGTGCGTGTGCGTGTGCGTGTGCGTGTGCGTGTGCGTGTGCGTGTGCGTGTGCGTGTGCGTGTGCGTGTGCGTGTGCGTGTGCGTGTGCGTGTGCGTGTGCGTGTGCGTGTGCGTGTGCGTGTGCGTGTGCGTGTGCGTGTGCGTGTGCGTGTGCGTGTGCGTGTGCGTGTGCGTGTGCGTGTGCGTGTGCGTGTGCGTGTGCGTGTGCGTGTGCGTGTGCGTGTGCGTGTGCGTGTGCGTGTGCGTGTGCGTGTGCGTGTGCGTGTGCGTGTGCGTGTGCGTGTGCGTGTGCGTGTGCGTGTGCGTGTGCGTGTGCGTGTGCGTGTGCGTGTGCGTGTGCGTGTGCGTGTGCGTGTGCGTGTGCGTGTGCGTGTGCGTGTGCGTGTGCGTGTGCGTGTGCGTGTGCGTGTGCGTGTGCGTGTGCGTGTGCGTGTGCGTGTGCGTGTGCGTGTGCGTGTGCGTGTGCGTGTGCGTGTCATGTGATGTTGTATGTGTGCATGTGCATGTGCGTGTGCGTGTGCGTGTGCGTGTACGTGTACGTGTGCGTGTGCGTGTGCGTGTGTGCGCGCATCAATACTTTCAGCTAATACATGCTGGTCATTTTTTAGTAACAAACAAAAATGATATATCACAAGAAATACTGGCTAATGTCTAGAACATCAATATCCAAAAGGAATAAATGTAAAAATAGGCCCATCAAACTTAACAATCCTACTGAATATGGGTTTTTGTGGTGGCTTGTGAACTAAAAAAAAAATGCTGCACAATGTAGTTACTGAGCATAAAATTCTATATAAGAAATGTTGAATTTGTTCTGTCTGTGTCCTGCAACTGTAATTACAGATAATTACAAAAGACAATAGAATCATACTGGATACAAATACAAGATTCTAAGAAAATAAGCACAGTAAATGCTTTGAAGTTTAGCCTTGCTTCTCTGCAAGGCTAAAGTCATAGCAGAATTCATGAACAGGCATGCAACTCTTCAACCTTTGTCTCCATCATCTGGTAGTGCTGTGGATTTAGGAGGATCAACTAGTACCAAACAGAAATGAATGACTTGCTCAAATCCTTTGCACTGTGCTATGAGCTTTTCAACAAGGATAAATCATGAACAAATACCTTGTCATTATGGGATTATGGTACATGTTTTTGCATATCATAAGTATTCAGTAATGTTACATGATGCCAATATAGCCACTGTAGTTCATTTCCAGGGTATTCTCTGACTTTTAGACTCTGCATCCTTAACCTTTTGTGGCTCCACAAGTGTCCATCCAACAAGGTGCCAGTTAACCCATTCACGCCGGGTGTCACGTATACGTGACATACCCACTGTGAGTTTACTTGTTTAATTGTTTTAACACATAGATGGTTACACTTGTACTTGTACTGCCTGCCTCGCCTGTTTACCCTTTTCTTTAATTTACGAAACTATTTTACGTTATCTTATTTTGCTGTTACTAATGTTTATAACATTATAGTAATTATAATGTTTATAATAAAAATAACCATCGATATTCATGGCACTAGTAAAAATACATTTTCCCGCCAATTCAAGTAAAGGTGAAATCAGGTAAGGCAGAGCCATCTAGTGTAGAGACATTTCACAAAAAAATATAAAAAGTGAGCACAGCATTTTCCCCGCTTTTTGTTCATTTTTACCAGTTGCGAATGGGTTAACTGGCCTACATGACCTCAACTGATTTCTCCATCCCTTGAAAGTTGGGGATTTCTCTCTCTTTTTTATTTTTATAAGGCTATTAATAATCCAGATGAAAAATTTGGCTTGAGGGTTGGATGACGTGAACATGCCATCATGGGATAATTTGGCTGTGGACCTGAGTGAAGCAAACTTGCCTCTGTGAGCACTTTGACTGAGAGCCGGGGTGACGGGAATGACTCCCCATGAATGCACAAACCTCTCTGTTGGTGATTAGGCTCATTTAGCATTTAGGTAGGGGCTTTTGTATTATTTTCATCGATAAATGAGTAGGGAATGTACGATGCACAAGCCCTGAGCACCAGGGAGGATGTTATTTCCAGGATCCTATTCCTGGCAGTGCAGATTGTAATATTAAATTTTCTGTAATACAATTTTTTTTTTTAAAGGTACAAATAACAAAATCTTACTTATTGTTATTATTACTGCACTGAGTTCTGGACTACCTAGAGAGATGATATTGAGTCTGTGCAAGAAAAATAGTCTATCACCATCTGGATATAGCAAAATGAATGATAAATGGCAAAAAAAAAAATAAAAACGCTTAGGCAGAAAGAGAGAAGATAACATTGCAAAGAGGAGGCATGAACTCTTGTCAGCTCAAGTAAGCCTAATGTCCATATTTTGGGACACATGAAGGCAGTGAAGCATCCAGATCCAAGGGGTAAAATCCATAGTGCTAACATTATTACTGACATGATAATGATATTAAAATACTTGTAGCAATGATCTTTTTTTTCCCCAAAAATCAAATAACAGGGTAAGCAGGTGAATTAGGTAGGCTTAGTAATAGACTCCATGATGACTAAATCTAGTTGAGCCATATATTTGTAAACATAATCAAGTTTATACTAAAATCACAGTGGACATGGTGTGCAT